GTGGGGTTGGGGATTTAGCTCAGTGGTAGAGCGCTTGTCTAACAAGCGCAAGGCCCTGGGTTCGGTCCTCAGCTCTGGAAAAAAAAAAAAAGACAAAATAACAAAATAATTTTTAAAAAACATTTTTAAAAACCTCCTTAAGATTAAACACAACTACAGGAAAAAGGACAGCGTATTGCATCAGCTATTGACGACTCCCTTGTTCCAAGAGCAATCCTGCATGCCTGCCTCTCAGGACAATGCTGGCCCCTGGGAAGTTAGCCCTCCATTCAACAAGAACAAGAACTCCTTACTTCCCCATCTACCTCCACACACCCTGCATGTGTGCACATGCACAAATATGCACCCAGCAAAAATGTCATGTGTGAGTGCAATGAATGAGGCAGAAAGTTTATAAAACCACTTTAGTGGCTGGGGAGATGGCTCAGTGGGTAGGTAAAGTGCATGCCATTCTGCCAGAGGCTAGGGAGATACCTCAGTCTGTGGGTGTCCTAGTTTTCTCTCTGTTGCTATAATAAATCATTGACCAAAATCAACTCGGGGAGGAAAGTTTGTTTTATCAGATCACAATCCGTCACTGAGGGAAGTCAGGGCAGAACCTGGAAGCAGGAACTGAAGCAGAGACCATGGAGGAATACCACTTACTGGCCTGATTCCCTTGTCTTGCTCAGCCAGTTTTCTTATATGGCCTAGGACCACATGCTCAGGGATGGCACTGCCCACAGTGGACTGGAACCTCCTACATAGATTAGCAATCAAGAAAATACCCCTCAGACATGCCCACAGACCAATCTGATCCAGGCAATTCTTCAGTTGAGATTCCCTCTTCCTAGGTGACTCTAGTTGGTGTCAAATTGACAAAAACTAACAGAACAGTAGGCTAGGTGGTATATATGCATCTGTAATCCCAGCATAGAGTGATGGAGAAGGGTGGACCTCTGGAGCTTGCTGGCTAACCAGTCTAGCCTAGAACTGGCAAACTCCAGTTTCAGTGAGACTGTCTTGAAAAGTAAGGTGGATGACTACTGAGGAAGACACCTAACAGCAACCTCTTGCCT